CAGCAGGAAAATTTCATAGAAGTGTCAGGAAATTATCAGGAGGTGCACCACACTAACTGGCTCCTCTCTCCTGCAGAGTTCCAGTGTCTCTGCGGGTCAAAGCCAAATCAGGTTTACCTTCCCCTTACCCCAGCAAAACAATATCAAGGACACATGGCAGACATCATAAGATTTTGCTTTTAACAAACATTTGGAGAGTCCAGTTTGTTAAAGGGATGCAAGACGAGACTAACCAAGAATGCTCAGAGCATCCCAGATCCAGAGGTCAAACTAAGGAGCACCCGAGGGCCTCATACATTATGAAAGGTTTCCAAGGCTGCCTGAGAAAATGCGTGGTCATCCTTGGTAAATTGTTTTCAGGGTGTTTAGCTTCTCTCCACTGGCAAATCTAAATAGGACCATCTGGCCAAAAAAAGAGGAAAAAATCCGCTCCCAGGGCAATTGCACACTCCCTTGTCATCACTTTATAACACAGTAGCTGGGTCTGCAGGGAAGCCATTGATTGCCAGCTAAAATAGCACAAACAGGACTAAACAAATGCCATCTCAGGCAACTAATGGTACCTCTGGCAGATAACCACATTTTCCTGTTGTGTTTTAAGGTTAAAAAGGCTGTATAGGGGTGAGAACCTCCAAAAGAGGACAGCAACCAGTGCCTAATGTGTTTTGTCAAAGACACTCCCCACCCTAAAATAATCCACCTCTGGGATTATTTCTCCCTTAGCTGTTTTCTAAATTCTTTTAGCATATGGGGCTGTGACAACTTAATGCAGCTCCTCCGAAGATATTCATTTATTAAAACATTTATATCCCACTTTTCCATGTGGTTCAAAGTGGCTTACAGTAACAGTTAAATACGTCCTTCAGTTAAAACAAAAAAATAAATAGCAAACCCCAAATCTCTCCCACTGTTTGTGATCAAAATACTTTCTGGTAACCTAATGGGACATAGCCTATGGGGCCCATTGACTATAACGGTCCCCATAGGCTACAATGGAACCGGGGGAAAGCAATTTTTTTTTTTTTTGCACAACCCTATTATGCTTTTCAGTATGATTGGTAAGCTGCCTTGACTCACAGGGAAAAGTGGGATATAAATATTTGAATAAATAAGTAGTTTGGCCAGGTTGATAACATTTAAGCAACTTCCTGTTTGTTTAGGCAGGGTTCTGACAGTGATCCTCTGTTATACTTAACCTGTAATGCTGGTTGTCATATTTCACTAAAAAAACCAAATTAGACTGCAAGAG